AATACTGTCTATTTTAGAAGTTAGTATTTTAGCATATGAATTTGGGTTGGGGTAGAGTGAGGTGGAGTGGGGAGACGTTGGACACAGAGGGAAGGGGAACAAATATTCAGAATATAGCAGATCCTCAACATCATTACCCATCAAGGAAACACATGCTGTAAATACGCACTACCATGCAACTTCCTGGATCTTTAATGTTAAAGAGATTGACAGCTCAAGTGCCAGTGAGGATGTGGAACACATGGAGCTCTCAAGCATTGCTGCTGGGAGTATAAATTGGGGCTATCACATTAAAAAAGCATTTGGAAGTATCTGATAAAGCTGAACATGTATTTATTCAATGACTCAGCAATTATAGTTCTGGAGGTATACACAAGGAAAATGACCCCTAAGTTCACTAAGAGATTGGTATGAGACTGCTCATGGCAGCATTATTGACAATAGCACAAAGCTAGAAACATGCAAACACAGAAGCAAAGATAAATCATGCCCTATTTGCTTAAGGGAATACTACACAGAATTATAAAAGAATGAACTATTGCTATTTAACACAGCATGGATGAATTTGATAGACATAATTATGAGATAAACAGGCATTAGGTTATATACTGCATTTATATAATACCTGAAAACAGGCAATATTAATCTATTGTGAATAGTGGTTACCTCTGGACTCTTCCAATTAAGAGGTGGAATGAGGAAGCCTTCTGAAGTGCTAGAAATATTCTATATGGTGCTCTTGGTGGTAAAGAGGTGTACACATAGGTTATTCATGGAGCTGACGTGTAAAATCTGTGTACTTTAGTCTATAAATTATACTTCAATTAAAAAATAAGATAAAAATAAATTTGGTTCTATAAAATGAATGTCAGTGATAAAAGGGAACTCAAGGGATGTTAAAAACTACTGATAGTTTGCCTTGAGTGTTTATTTTTAATTGGAACCAGATGGGATATTTATACACACACATATACACATATACACACACATATATACACTCATATGTACATATATATATGTGTATATTTATGGATGGGATGAAAATTGTCTTAAATATAAGTATATATTAGAATAAAACCTCATTAGACCTATCAGGGCTTCTCAGTCACTATGCCTGGGTTAGTGTCTGGTATCAGCGGATGGGAAGGGTCGAGGGTTAGGGGGAAAGGCTAGCACATATTAAGGGCCTAATGAAGGATAATAAGGATGGCTTCCATGTGAGAAGGCAGAACCATCATCAGGAAGACAAGTAGATGGCAAGAAGCCAGCAGATCTGGGAGTCTGGGAGGCCTGGGATCCTAGTGTGAAGAGAGTGGTCAGAGATGAGCAATCAGTGTACCTGGAAGTGGGAAAGAAGAGTGGGAACCAGGGAAGAAACTGAATCCCCAGCCTCAGCTACTGCTTTTGGGTCTCCTAGGAATTCCGTGGGCAGAGAGAGTTTTGGAGGACCGTTTGGGGCCCAGCTATAGAAACAGTCTGCATGGTCTGAGAAGGAGAACCTGAGCCATGGGTCAATGGTTGCTTTTGGTGACTCTTAAGTCTCCCCAAGAATGTCACAAAAGCAAGTGGACAGATATTGAGTACTAATAAAATATGCGTCACTGTCGTGAACAAAAGGTAAGTAAATATGATCCTTCAAATATTTTTAGGTTTCATGTGTAAGTCCATATCATGCCAAATGAATCCAATATGAAAATAATTTTTATTTTAAAAATACACTTTATGATTTTATGCTGATTAATGCAAAGAGGATTGCTCATAACCTGAAATAAATTACCAAAGAACTAAAAGTGGATAGAACATGAGATTGGGCTTCAAGAAATTATCTTATTGTCCCAAGACTTCATTTCTGACTTCTACAATTCCAATTATTGTCATCACTTGATGATTCTCTGATGATCAATATTCCGCAAGTCAGATAACCAAAAGTATGTGACAGGGTCTAAAGTGACGTCTGGGGAGACAGGCCTGGGCTTGACTCTGAAACACTGGAAGAATTTCTTGAAAATCATTTCTTTCTATAAAAAGAAATAAAGTTATTCTCAAATACTCTCCTGGCAACCTATAAAAATCACCCTTGCTGTTCCAGTTTGGAGTCAAAAATCACAAAGGAGATATGTTTTAAATCTATCTGTGCTCTGAAGTCTACATTGTGTTGTCATAAACGTTCCCTGTGCAGTTTCCTAAAACATCATGTTCTCACAGGAACCAGCTCTTAGAGGCAGAATGGACCTTTCCTACAAGTGGAAAGATGGCCAGGGGAATGGGAGGTCGCTCTGCTGCCTCAACATTGTCATGATGGAAGCGAGCAGCCACTAGCTTCGAGTATCCCCAATCCCATTTAATTGCATATCAAATATTTGGCCAAGAAAAACATCCTGTCTGTTTAAGAACTAGCAGCAACCATCTAATAAATTCTAGGACTTAAAGTAACAGAAAGTGGGGAGTGGGGAGAAGTAACAGAACTGTTGAGTGTTAGCTGTTTTGCCATTGTGGCTTCAATGCGAGCATGAGGAGTGAATCTGATTGGGGAAATACACTGGAAAAAGACCAGCATGGGGATGCACACTAAGTTTCCTTTATTTCCTTCTACCAGCAGAAATGGAGTAAATGGATCATGTAAGAGAAGTGAATGTAAAACCCTTTCCACAGAGAAGTCAGTACTAATGGGAGGCCAGGGCTCTAGCTGATCTTGTCTCTGGCTCCAGTGTTAGCTTCAGGTTTGCTGACGTGGTTGTCTGGTTCTGAATAGACAGCAGAATCTACTTTTAGGCAAAAAAATCAGAGGGCCAAATAAGGCTTTTCAGTGTCCGTTACAATTCTCAGAAAAAGGCATGAGAGCTACCTATGTATCTGAAGCTAGCAATTCCTACAAACTACCCCTGCTGGCTATAGGTGATGGTTAATTTTATGTGTCAATTTGGCTAGCCATCCGTGCCTGGATAAACATTATTTCTAAGCCTGTCTGTGAAGGTGTTTTCTAAGGAGATTAGTATTGAATTGGTGGGCTCTATAAAGTATAGTCATGTGTCACTTAATGATGGGAATATATATATATATATTTGGAAATGTGTTGTTAGGCAATTTCATCCCTGTGAACATCATGGAGTGTACTTAACACAAAGATGGTATAGCCCACTATACTCCTAGGCTATAGACATAAGCTTATGGGACCACCATTTTTGGACAGTCTATTGATGACTGAAATGTCGTTATGCCATGCATGACTATAGATTGCCCTTCCCAGTTTGTAACTTGACGATAGCCCAAGTTGTTGAGGGCCTGAACAGAACAAAAGACAGAGGAAGAGAGGATTCATTCCCTTCCTTCTTGCTTATATGAGCTAAGACATCAATCATCTTCTACTCTTAGATTGGTATTAGTCCCTTGTTCTCAGGCCTTCAAGCTTGAGCTGGAATTGCATGACTGACTTCCCTGGGTCTCCAACTTGCAGATGGTAGATCATGGAACTTCTCAGCCTCCGTAAGTGCATGAGCAAATTCCTCATAATTTCTCTCTCTTTATATATCTATCATCAATCTCTATATCCCCATCTCCTTATTCTTTGAAGAACCCTGACTAATATACCACTGTATTTGAAATTTGGCTTCTTTTGTGGGCTGGGTATTTGGCTTTGGAATAGTTCTCTTTCTCCTCTTGAAATTAAGGAGTTTAAAGAGTCTTCTCAAACACCCTGCTTTAATGTTGGGTTTAAGTCAACAATGCTATTGCACTTAGCAGGAAAGTCCCATCTCCAGCTACCGTTATCATCTGGAGTGAAAAATTTGACAATTACACTTCAGCTTATTTCTCTGAGTTCATAACTTAAGCTGCTGAGAAATTTTTGAATCCTAATTCTGCAATCTAGTTATCCTATAGCCTCCCTAGTTTTGTATCTTCCACAAATGAGACGAACATGCCCACTCCTGCTTCAGAGGAGTCATTTGATAAAAGATCATTACGAAACACAGTTAAAGATATTTATGGCAGAGTCCATAAATGGAGACCTTTGTCCATAGTGAAATGGATCTGTCTTAGGCGTGACTTCACATAGCTCCTATCATCCAGCCTTCCTTCCTCCATATGTACTACTGGTGCTTTTTTCTGAGTTCTTGAAGAAAACAAAAATGATTGGGTTTATTTGATTTCTCTGATAAGAAAGTAGGACCCCCCCTCCATCAAAATAGAAGTGTTTGTTGAGTTTTGATTAATTTTGGTGTTTCTGATGACCTACTAGAGACCTCTGCCTTGATAATTCTCACCGGGGACAATTATCAAGTGTGTCCGGCTTTGTTCCTTACCCTTACAGGGTTCATGCTCATTCAGTTTCTTAGTCCTTTTTTTTCCTGGCCACTGTTAACTGAGCACCAGCTACACTCTAGATAGTGGATTGTTGGTAAAGTCATGACACATTTCTGCATAGAAAAACAGAAAAACAAGTCATGACTTTCCCGATGACCCAATAGTTTACACACTCCTCATCTCTAATCATCCCATCAAATAAAAGACTAAATCCTCCTCTACTTCTACCCCTATCTTCATCTGAATTTCCAGAAAGTCATTCAATGACTTTCTCTAAACCACAGTTGACTCATGGCCCCACTATGGTTTGAACCCAAGTACATCAAGGTTCCAAATCTGCACCATTACATCTTCCATTTTCTATACTTACCGATCATGAAGACAGTCTTGCCATTTTGTCTTCTAATCCTTTTTTCAGGGCCTTTGGGTATGATTCATTGGCTCCTAGGCAGATGAGTTTACATGATAGAGGTAGCTGTTACCTGAGTATTTCTTTTACTGTCTGTGACTTCGAGGCCCTCTTGACCATTAAGCATATGCCCTGGGACTGAGAGCAGACCAGAGTTGTTGGCTATGTACTATTGTGTACTACTTCTTGAGGAGGTGATGTTCTCAGGGTTGGTACCTACTGAGGCCTGGGCTAAGGCTGCAGCAGAGGCAGAGGAAGACTGTCCCCACAGGAGTATGAAAAATCATACCTGGTAGTGCTGTAGGCTCCAGGGCCCTTCTTGTCCTTCAGACACTTGGCTTTCCCTGCAGACTCTTCTTTCTTCTTCCATGGGGGTGGCTCATGTAAGAAGTCATCAGAGTAAAGTTGTAGCTCAGGAGGCTTCTCCTCTAAGAGAGTCAGTGACTGAAATTATTCACAGCTCTCCTCTAAGTGAATGAAACCCAGTTTCAAATTTCTTAGCTGTTTCCAGAGTCACAGCATATTTTACTGCTGGGAGGACAGATGCCTGCTCAAGTGTCTGATGAAGACACTTAAGCTTTATTGTTATTTGACATTCATTAGGGAATCATCTTCCGTAGGCAAAACACAAGACATTTCTTTAGACAGGAGCCGTAAAAGGACTAATGATGGGTCATAGGCCAGATGGTATGGAAACGAGATGAGCTAAGCCCTTGAGCCATACCAGCTCGGTCCCACACTGCCTCTGAGAACTGCGAGGGGTGTGAAAAAGAAAGAAACAGCCGTGATTCCAAGGCATCAGCGAGGATGCCATTGCACACACATCTTGAAGACAAAGAGGGTACCATCCAGTGCCCTTGCCCAGCTCAGTTCTGAATTAATGATCAAGTTCTCTTCAGGAGAGGAGGACTGATGTATATGGATACTAATTATGTGATGACACACTCCTCGGGTTCTCGTGGTAGCCCGAAGAAGAATGTTTCTTGCTCTAGCCTCAAAAGGCAGAAAGATGCAGCTGAGAGAATGCACATCACTAAGGACACATGGCTGGTTACTAGTGCTCGCAGGATTGGAATCCAGATCTGTTGGAGTCTAACATCTATGTGAGACTATTTCCCTTCTACCTCCAGAGTCCTGAATCCAGGTACTCACTTCACCTCGAAAGGAGAAGCAGAATGTGGAAAGAACATGGAGGAGGAAAATATCAAAACCTCATGATTCTAGAGTGGGGAAATAGAACCCATGTTCTCCCTCCCTTTGCCAAAGGGATCTCAAGACTCTTTCCTAGTTTTCTAACTGACTTGTGGGGTATGATGGAGGACAAACAAGAATGTGAGAAGGCAGGGAGAAAGAAAGAGGGAAAAGGTTCTCATGAGTACTGGTTCAAAATACAGGTGAGTAGCTTCCACTTAGATGAAAACAAGAAGAAATGAAGTTGACTTGCTAAAGGATGTTTATAAAAACTCCAGAGTACCTTGAGAATTTCTTCCTGATTAAATGTTACTAGTTGTTTTAATCACACCTCCTTGGAAATCTTGCTACCCCACATAAGGCCATGGATTTTGCGATAGCAAGAAAAAAACAAAAAACATATTTATTGGGCTAATGTAACTTTGGGCAATTTACCTTGAAGGTGAGTTTTCTCTGAAAAATGTCTACAGACATACTCATACAGCGATGCTAATACTTTCTGCACTGACCCAGGTATTTTAAAACCATTTTTTTCTGCTTAGTTGCTGCTGTCTACTTATTCTTTTTACTTAAATTTTTACCACCTGCCCCCACCCCTGCCCTCCACCCCTATCCCTTTATCACAAGCTTACTACATGCCCTTATATGAAAGGAATATCCTCATGTTCAGAACTTCATTTTAAGTTGCTGGGCCATGCTGCTTCCTTTACTGGGAAGAAGTTAAGGAAAATGTCCTCCCTGGTACCTTTCAGAGAGAAGGCTTCTGAATTCTCTTTAAGTCATTTTACTCCATCTGGTAGGTATGTCTAGATAAGTTTTTCCTACAGGAGGGATTTGGTGGGGCCTGCCTGTGTTTTGGGGGTAACAACCTTACATTATTATATGTGGGAATCACTCGCTGCTCTCTGTCCATAAAACCAGGCTGTCAAATTAAGGAAATAAGCAAAGCAGATGTGTGTGAACCCACAACCTCAGCATGGTTTCATTTTAATGTTAACTGTCCTATTTGGAGCAAGAGTAATTAGAAAATCAGTGGCAAGTTAGGAGAAAAAAATTGCTGAGCTTTATAATTACTTGGGGTAGAGAGAGAATCCGATCTATTTACTGAAGCTCTCATTAAATTCTCCATCGGAGGAGTCAAGGTGCAGCCATCAGAGCCAGGAAAGGAGAAGACAGTGTCTGTGAGGGAAGCCAAGAGTGAGTTCTGTGGTCACCTTCACTTCGCCCATGGAAAGCCCTGGGCTCTTGGTCCTAGTAATAGTCACATCCATATGGTGCCTGGTCAGAGACAGAGGGTAGGTTTCCAGGTAGATGTTTCCATTTATCCTTTTCCTTCTGCCCACTCCTCTTCTGTCCTTTCCTCATGGTTCTCACTCTGCAATCTCCGCTAATGGACTCTGCCTCATTTTTCTTTTCTTCTTCCCTCCCTGGTTGTGGCTAGGTTTATATATGTTTCCTGGATTTGAATCTTTCATTTAAACAAAATAATTTTCATATACATACTGCTCAAGGTTCAGCTGTATTCCTCCCAAAGTCCTAACCCTCGTGTGTCAAGATGTGACCTTCTTTGGAAATAGAGGCATTGGAAATGTAATGTCAAGATGAGGTCATACTTCATTGGGGTGGGTACCAATCCAATACAGCTGCTGTCCTTGTAAGAAGAGACACAGAGACAGAGGCACACGAGGAGGAAGGTTACGTGATGATGGAAGCAGAGATTACAATGCTGCAGCTGAGAGCCAAGAAGCACTGAGCACTGCCAGCCAGCCACCAGAAAGAACAGACAAGGAAGAATTCTCCCCTACAGAGTTTCTGAGGGTTCATGGCTCTGCCAACCTCTTGAATTTTTACTTCTAGCTTCCAGAATTGTGAGACAATAAATTTCTGCTGTTTTGAGCTACCCAGTTTGTGGTACTTTGTTACTGCTTTGCTAGGACACTGATACACATTTCTTTGAAACAAACACCTGACAGAACATGTGCTATGGGAAGAGCTCAGTTTTAGACTCGGCGGAGGAGACAAAGACAAGTCAGGTTAGACTCCTACCCTTCCTGTGATGCTCAGTTTTGTGGGAAGACTGACCATCACATCCTCATCCATGGAAGATGTGAATGAATGTGAATCCAGGTACTCATTTTACCTACAAAGGAGAATAGTACACGTGTAGGAACAAATGCATCCTACCCCAAGTCATTGTAAAGCTCAGAAATCACTCCCTAATTTGCTGCTGATTTTGTAATCACTCTTGTTCTAACTAGGACAGACAGCATTAAGAAGTGAGGGGGACTAGGAAAGCCTTGGAGAGAAGTTCGGATTTAAGTAGGGTTCTGAGAATGCAAGAGGTGGACAGAAAGCTACTGTTGGGAAGTGAAAATCACTTGTGCTAAGGTATAGAGTCAGGCAGCAACAGAACATGCGTGGAAAACAGCGAGTGAGCACATGGTAGGCCAGGGGGTGAGTGGTGAGGACCCTAGACATAGATGTGTGTGTGGAAAAAGTGCACGAGACAAGGAGAGTAAGGGCTTGGAGCGTAGTATCCCTCTGCTTACATGGAGAGGGATCTGGGGAGTCACTAATGGTTATAATGATCCCAGGATTGTCTTCCCAGAGAGAAGCCCAGAGCATCCTGAATGAGGTCCAGGTCTTCAGGGTTGAGTCAAGTAAAAACGATCATAACAGAGGCTCTGAATCTGGCTCCTGAATCTCTGCTCCCCCATCACATGGCCAATATCCAGGAAGGAAGATCTTTGCCATAATCCGGAAGTCTTCACCTAGGTTCTGTGCCAAGCCATGACATCACATAGAGGTTGGCTTAGGGGAGGAGTCTCGGTGTTCCATCATCTGTTCTCTACCCAGGTGCCACCTAGGCCCTACAGAGATAGGTCTATTTTTGGCCTTCTGATGATTCTCTCCCACCATTCTAGCCCTTTTCTGTCCTCTATTTATGGCTGGCAAATAAGTTGTGGTCTTGACTGTCTCACACCTTCTTGTCATGTTGGAATTTGTTGTTTCAAGTTTTTCTCTCATTTCTCCATAACCACCTTACTTTTGTCTAAACTGTTTCCTACTCATCCTTATCCCAGGGTCTTATTTAAAGCCCAGTCTTATTGTTGTCCATTTGTTCATTCGGTTTTGAGCACCTACTATATCATTACTATGCTAAAAACTGTGGGTACAGTAGCAAAAACAACAGCTCTCCCAGCTCATGTGCACCCTGCAATCTAGTGTGGAGACAGACAAGCCAATTTTTATCTGCATCATTAAAGATTGTGGTAAGAGCTAGGAAGAGGAAAAGAAGGTAATTGTTAGGTGGAATTACAAGGTAGGGTGACTTACAGTGGAGCCTTGGGGAAGGAGATAAAGCATGGGAAACAGCATCTGTTGCAAAGAGATGGAAGGAGAATATTCCAGAAAGAGGGAATGACAACAGGTGCCAAGGCCTTAACATAGGAAAGGCTTTACTAAGTTTAAGGTACTGAAAGAGGTTTCAGCATGGCTAAAGCCAAGTGAGTAGGGTGAAGAGTTTTGAGAAGTAGATAGACTTAGGTAATGAACTTTGAGTCAGAAATTAGGGATTGGTACCAGATAGTGGTACAATGGTAAAATGTGCAGTTCTATAAGGGTGATTCACAGGGGAAGGTTCCGAGTTCAGAGCCAGGACCTCTCTGAGTGTGCTTAATATGAGCATTCCCACAATCTGGGGCTGGCTGATGCTGGAGTGAACCATGATGTTGGGACCCTATTGGGGGTGCTATCTCTTTCTCTCTATTTCCTCTCACTTTGTCATGGCAGAAAGAAAGAAAAAGGGCTAAAAAAACTCAAAAAATTAACGATACACTCTAAGAACAATGGGAAATCATTTAAAAGTTTTACTTAAGGGAATAATATAAATCGAGTTTAACTCTAATTGGCTGTAGAGATGGAAATGAGTGGATGAGATAGAGTTGGGCATGGAAGGTGAAGATGACAGGGCTTATGTATGGGTTGGGGTAAGGTGCTGAAGGTGAAGGATAAGTGAAGGTTTGTAGTTAGAGTAATAACTTATATGAAAACTAGTAGAGAAGGATGTGTTGGGGGTGGAAGTCTAGCTCAGTTTTGGGCATGGGGTTTTTGAGATTCTTGAGGGATTTGAGCATACTTTTCTTTTTCTTAAAATAATTAATTAATTGGAACAGCAGATGGCATAGTGGTTACATTGCTGGACTCCCATGTAGTTGACTGTGGTTTGAGTCCTGGACCCAGTGACTTAAAACTCATGCTGGGAGCATGTGCATGTGTGCTCCAAGTCCCAAGAGGGCAGTGGAGGAGAAGGGATAGTGATGTGGCCATCCCCCTGGGGTGTAATTTCTCATTTTCTGTCTCTCTGTCTCTCAGGTGAGTGCACACAAAACTCTATAGCAAGAATCTGTCTCTCAAAAAAGTTAATGATTATATTACCATACATATTATCATCAGTAGACAATTTTCAAGCAAAAGTTGAATACATGAGTCTGAAATACTGTGGGAATATCTGGGTTTATTTTAGATTGTGTGCAAAGTCAGGAGAACGGACAAGATCCCCAGTGACAGGAGAGTAGGGTGAGGAGAGAGGGAGGAGTAGGGCAAGCTCTGTACAGACTCCAACATCTAGAGCTTGAATAGAAGAGGAGTTGGCAAAGGAGATTAAGAAGCAGCAACCAGAGGAGTATGATGTCACCCAGAAGAGTGGCATACTGTGGAATTAGATGAAAGCGGTTGTTTCAGCAAGGAAGGAACATCAAGAGTGTGTGATGTTGCTGAAAAGCCAACTGAGATGAGGACTTCAAAGGTCTATGGGACCTAGCAATATGATGATCTGCATTTACCTTCATGCAACTGCTGCTTCTGCTTCTACTTCAACAGTTTCATCCTTACTAATGTTTATTGGTGGTTTACTGAATACTCAACATGCAAACATGTATTAGCCCATTTAATCCTCACAAATGGTAGAGTTGATGTTATTATTATTATTATCATTCCAATTGTGTAGTGAAGGAAACAGATCTATAAAGGTTACACATCTTGATTTGAGTCTAACATCCCCACTTTACAAGTTTTTCCTATTGTCTTCTGTTTAGAAAACTGGGAAAGTCTAGCAATAGAAGGGAACTTAGAAATGTTCTAATCTTCTCTCATTTTTAAATGAAACTGACCCCAGAGGTGGAAGAAATCCATGTTTATTGTTTACTTCTATTACTGTGCTAGGAGCCACATGTGTGTTTCTCATGGTTTTCCAAGAACCTCATGAGATTTTATTTTCTAGTGTGGAAACTAGGGCTCTGTAAAGCAAAACCCCATCCAAGTTGTATTTCTAATAAGAAGGACATAGAATTTGTATCCAAAACTTGCTGATTCCAGAGCATCTGCGAACTTTCTATGCCATGTCACCGCCCAAGGTCATGGCAGAAGAGGGACTGAACTGTTTCTGACCTCTCCAACATACACAGCTGTCAAAGCCCCACTGCATCTACTGCAGGTAGGCCCTCTGCATCATTTCCCCATGTGTGCAGCTCTCTCCAAGTTGGGAACATCACCCCACACGTGGCTATTTAATCTCGTCTTATTTAGATTTGAGTTTCCTGCTCCACCCAAGCTGACTGAGTTTTCAGATGTCCCATCACACTGCTTTAGGTCTCAGTGTAAGTCGTAATCGCTCCTCCCAGCCTGCCTGCCTCTTGTCACCCTCATTTTCTGGCTTAGGCTGTTCCTCATTATAGCTCATGTTTGCTTAAGATCATCCTTAAGTTCTTTTTATCTCTACTCTGAGCTTCTTAAAAAAATCTCCTTAGGACTTTGATTGGTTGTTTGATGCTTTTTTCAAAAGCAGATTTACAAAGTCTTTTCCAGGATTTTTTTGGCCCCGTTCAATTACAGCTAAGGTTTCAACCAACCATCTCATTTCTGATTTGAGGTCATTCATTGTGTACATTTAGACTCTTAACTCATATATTTCTTTACTCATGGCTTATTAAGTCTACTTGCCTCAGAAATATAGCCTTAACTTCTCTGGGCAAAAAAATACATCTTTAATATCATTGTGGGTAAGCACTTTCTGAGCATCACAATGATGGTTCTGGGCAGCACAGGGGCCTATGATGTCTTTTCTTTTTCTTTTTTCTTTTTCTTTTTCTTTCTTTCTTTCTTTTTTTTTTTTTTTTTGAGAGTTTTTTGCTATAAGGGTGTGTGTGCTCGCCAGAAAGATAGAGAGAGACAGAGAGATAGAAAGCAAGAAATCACCCCCAGGAGGGATGGCCACGCTGCAATCCCTTCTCCTCCATTCTTCTCTTGGAATCTTGGGCATGCACACACACACACCCGGCGTAAGTTTAAGCCAATGGGTCTGGGACTCAAACCATCGTCGGCAACATGGGAGTCCAGCGACACAGCCATTATGCTAACTGCTGGTCCCAGGGGCCTATGATGTATTGATTGGCCTCACTGTCATCTGGGGAGGTGGAAATGGGGTTGGGGTACTACATGTAAACAGTCTCTCTTAACTCCCTCTTTCCTCCTCCTTTCCTTGTTTCTCTTTTCTTCCTTTTTTTTTTTTTAACTTCTTTAGTGGCTTCCCTCCCTTACAGTTCTCCCTCTGTTCCAACCCCATTCCTCTAGTCCCTTCTGGTTCTCATTCACTCTTTCTAATATCATTCAAGTGAGAAGATGAAGTGGGGAGAAGCAAGCTCGGTCTTCGTTAGACTGTTTTCCTGATGGGAGAATAGGGGCAGTAATAAGGACTAGAATTCTGGGCTGAGATCAGTTCCTTCCTGTATCTCCCCACTTTGCATTATCAATGGTAAAATAAATTCTGCCAATGCAAAGATTTCTTTCTTTTTGAAACCTCTCCTTGACATTCTTGGGTCTATAGAAGATACTCATGTTCTACAAGTTAACCTAAATTTGGTTCTACTTCTTCCCAAATAATGCCCTGGCCTTGCTGTACTAATAGTGTCTACCCCTTCTCTGTCTGGGTTGTGTCACAAAACGTTCTGTATTAACTTGATGAGAAAAAGATTAGGGCTCAGATTTGCTTCTCCTTAACTCCTGGATGGGAATGTGGAGAGTGCACAGTAAAGTTTAATTTTAAAAAATGGGGGATAGTAGGTGGCATAGTGGCTAAGGTACTGGACTTCCAGATTCAGACCATAGTTCAAGTCCCAGACATGGCAATTTGCTTTCTCACTTTCCTTCTCTCTCTATCTGTCTCTGGTGAGCACGGGTGCCCTATAGCAAACTTTTTTTTTGGGGGAGAGGTTTTTGCTATAGGGTGTGTGCACTTGCCAGAAAGACAGAGACAGAGAGACAGACATCAAAAAATCACCACCCAGGGTGGATGGCCCCACTGCAATCCCTTCTCCTCCATTCTCCTCTCAGGATTGTGGGCAAGCCCACACATGTGCCCGGCGTGAGTTTAAGCCACTGGGTCTGGGACTCGAACTGTGGTCGACTACATGGGAGTTCAGCAACATAGCCATTATGCTAACTGCTGGTCTGCCCTATAGCAAACTTTTAAAAAATAATGATAAATAAAAATGAATAGATAATTATTTAAAAAAAAAACTTTAAAAAAATTTCCAGAGGGCATACATGCTCTCTGGAGAAAGACAGATTTCATACATACACACACACACACACACACACACACACATGGAGAGAGAAGAGAGAGAAAGTGAGAAAGCACCCTCTGTGGAAGATGGTCATATGTCTCAACCCCTTTTTTTCCATTTCTCCTTTCAGGAT